AGTGCAAAATAGCTAACGCATTGAAAATTATGTCCTATTTTATACAAGAAAAGGATTGCTCACAGACAGCCACTAGCAATCTTTGGATTAAGTTACATGCATTTTCACTGTTTTGGTCTCTCTTCATGTTACCATAGCAATTTCCCATATACATCAGAGAAAAACGCTGATGGTGAGATGCAGTAATGACAGAACAGTCTCATAAACGAGAATTTAAAGTTGGACCGGAAAAAAACTGCTAGAAATGATACTGCAGGAAACAGTCCTTTCCGGATATCTTAATAGGTTTGTTTCCTTCTCTCCAAGGATAAATTTCTCTCCTGCACGAGACACTCAGCACTGCAATTTGTCATCATGGGAAACTGCTGCATGTAACTGAGTGTTTTTATTACCTTACACAAGGCTTTTGAAACCACTGGGCATGGGCATATTCTGGCACCTGTTCTGATCCTGCACGTTCACAGAACTTAAGAACTAAATTAAGAACAACCAGCAAAGATCAAACTAAGATCACAGAAAACAGTCAAAGCATCCAAGTGCCCTTTCACAGAGGGGAGGGAAGAAGCTTTAGCTGGCACACAGTCAACGTCATGAGGTGGCACATGACATTTTCACACAAAGCACTGGGTCTTATTTTTCAAAGGAAGCTTTTGTAAGAGCTCGGCAAAGTTTATCCTAGACTCTGACGTGACTGCCCTGATTCACAGCTGTTCTTAAAAGACTTTCCAGGAGCAATCCCATTCACTTCTCTTCCCCATCATGCTAAGAGCTTTGAAGGCACCACAGTCAATAAGCACCCATAAAATATAATTAGCCTTTGCCAGTGCTGAATGCGTCATTCTTGAAATGACAATTTCATTGATTTATTAAAGACTTTCTCCTTCCCTGGGTCTGAGCATCAATGCAAGTCATTAGTTATGGCAGTGTTACAAATGCGTGGGCCCCAGATAATCAACATCTGCTTTCCATGAAAGCAGAAGGGCAGAATTTACAACTTTGCCTGCCTTTTCAACCCTTGACAAAGCTCCCTCCATCAGGACCAACATACAGCCCGTGCATTTTTGGAATCTTTCTAGAGGTACAGCCAGCCAAGCCTTAGCAACTGCTGTCTTCTCTGACACCTTCCGGCTGTCCCTTGTTCTTCAAAAAAAATCAGACTGAGTGCACTAAATTAAGGAGCCGTCCACATTACCATTTTAAAGTCTCAGCTGGAAGCAGTATAACAATAGATCCCATGGCATTGTGTTAGCCTCTCATTTGAAAATGAGAGGAGAATGATGGGCTTCTACTAACAAACATTATTACCTTTTCAAGATTTATCTATTCTCTTTCTCTAAGGAGCTTAACACACAGAAGTTAGCAATAAATGAACATTTAGCCTAACTCCAGATACTGCAGATAAATCATGGGGTTTATTGTTCCAGCGGGACTCTCCATTGTTTTGAAGGCTATGTAGCTAAAGAACTTGGAATCCATCACAAAAAATCCAATGAGTCTCCTGCATACCACCTTCCCCACTGCTTACCTCTGAGCCAGCCACAAATGTGGAACAAGCCTGAGAGATTTTTCATCCAGTAAATTAGAAGAATGCCAAAGTACTGCCTGCTACAGGAAAGGGTGACCTTGCACAGGTTAGGAAAGCATGCGACAGGTGATACTGGAAGAATTTAAAATGCTGCAAAAATTGTCCTTGTGAAGGTGCTTCTCTTCAAATATATCCTAAAGCAATCTGTGGTTACATGAGTGATATAGTAGAACACCACCACCACCAGAAGAAAACTCAGATACAAGTTAGCTCACATTAGTTAAAATTAAGTTTCTCCCTTTTATAAGCCCAGTTTTCCCCATATCTTCAGCAGTGGAAACTTCCAATCCTCATTTTACACAACCAGCCCCACATCTAAGCCAAATAGTCTTCACTTGCAGAGTGAAACCTGTATACAATAGACTTTTTGGAGCCATTTAGCATGCAGAGTACAGATGTTGCCACATTCAGAAGTTTTAATCTAAAATTTTTTCCTACTCTCTCCTTGGGTGGAGTCTATTCTGTCCTATGATATTTATCCAGAGATCTGGGGCACATCTTGTGCTCAAGGGCAATTACACACCAAGTCAGTTATTCCATAGCAGAGAAGAAACATCAGCATATCTTCATCAGAGACATGGGAAAAGGAAAAGATCAGCTTGATCTTTCTGGCCTTTCATAGGAGAACATTGACTGATGGGAATATAGGCTTTCTATTTAAGAACAAAGGGTCTTTATCCAGTTTCAAATTATAAGCTACTGCTAAAAAGCTTGCTGTTGTGATTTTTCAATGACAGAATTAAAGAAAATTGCAATTATCTGCCAGGAATGTGTGAAGATAACGATCTGAGAAACTACGCAGATGGGGTAGAGTGTTTTTTACAGGAATGAACTTTCCTGTGACACTCGCTCATCACCACGGTATCACAAACATCACATAATTAAGTCTCTCTGAGACTTGAGAGGACTAGCACAGTTGAGAAGCACAGAGTTAGAATCCCCACACCTTGTATTCTCTTCCCAGGTCTGCTACATACCTCCCACAGGATGAAGGAGGGCTCATTTTACTGTGCACCTTCATTCTGTGTTAGATGGACCATTCTCTGTCCATCTGGCCAGTCGAGATTGTCAGCTTTTCAGGAACACTGGGTTTTGTACAGTGCATACAAAATGTGAGTTCAATCTTGACTCAGGCTTCTAGGCATTATCTCAGTCCCTACAGAAGGGACAACATCACCAAATGATAACATACCATAGGCACAGGGAAGTTAATTGGCTTTTCCAACCTTAACTAGGAAGTCTAGCAAGAATACACCATGTAGCTTTTAAATACCAATCCAGCATCTTTGCAGACTTGTTCTACCACTTGCACAGCTCCTCTAGAGGGACACTGGGCTTCAATATTGAGAGTTTTGGGAAGCACACACTGGGAAGTGCACAGTAAGAGGAAGGTGTGGTCCCAGTACTGCTGGGGAGAAGAGCAGCATCTGTTAATTTCCTTATGTTGCCTCCTCCCTTCAGAGAGCTGCGAAGGTTTGCGCCTCATTGCCCAACACTCCACAACAGCTTCAAATATTGATACACAATTTAGAATTAATTTTTAAAAATTTATTTCCGAGCTGATTCTGTCACTTCCTCCTCTGAGGAACCTGAACTGTAGGGAATCTCCACAGCTTGTAAGTACTCACCCTGCATGCATGAATATGTAGGTTAGGTACCTCCAAGCTTGAGCACGGAGCTGAGGATGGTAAAGTAATGCATTCTTCAGGTATAAGGGATGGGTGACTTGCAGCACAAATCTGTCTAATATCACTCCGTTGTAAAGAAAAAAGGCAACCTAGAAGAGAAGGAAGATTCCTTGGTTAGCAAACATCTTCTCTCACTGAAAAGCCCTTTGTAGCTCAAAATCATGGAGAAGCAAGTCAAATCTACAATAATTTTTCTCCCATTTGACAGCTTCACACAGCATGAGTTTCCTGTTTTGAGGAACCTGCAACACAGTATAACTATACATGGCTTTCTGTAACGCACCAGCCACCGAGTCAGAGGAACCCAGCATCCTACTGCTCAGTGCCATATTATATCCTTCTCTGTGCTTATTCTAGTACAACTGTGCAAAGATTTCATTTGGGCAACAGATGAGCAGGCCAGAATGTTTATTCCAGTTTCTCTTCCCTGCTTTTTTTCTCCTTTCACTAAACAGAGGCAACCATATAGGAATTTTCCTTCTAATTCCATTATCTGAATTACCAGTTTCCCTAGAACTGTCCAGATTTTCACTCCCCAAAAAGTTTTGCTATAGTTTCCCAAATTCTGTATTTTCATATACACATTGTTTCAAAGACTAATAACCATGCTTGGAGACAGACAGGATCACAGTGTCCACCTACACACACATATACAGGTAAGCCAAAACAGCTATCAGCTTAGTGTTTGTCCTTGTCTGGGTCTAAATGAGTCCCGCTCTAGCCCTTGATCATGTCCCAGAAAAGCCTTTGGCAGTGTGGTGTGGGTTGCCAGAGAGAGGGAGTGAAGGTACTTGCCTCTACGATAGTGATGGTAATCATGAACCATGGTGGAGGGCAGCAGGTATAGCTGTCATAGTACCACTTGCGGTCTATCTCTCGTGGCAGGGTCTCGTATGCAACATGCCGGATCAGCCTCTGTGAAAGGCTCAGCCCTGTTTCCTCCAGCAGTGCCTTGCTGCACAGCCTCCTGTTCCCCTGAAGGATGGCTTGGCGGAAACTATTCGACCTTTTGTTGCTCATCTGGGTAAAAAGAAAAGGAAGAAACCATGAGGACAAAGCAAGGCCTGGCACAACCATCCAAGGAGATTAGTGCCAGTTTGGCAGCACCAGATCCAGATAGGAGAACCACCACCAGGCTGGAGCTTTAGGAACCAAGTAACAGGGTCTGCTATTACGATGCCAATAAATGAGGTCAGGGCAGAACACTGGGAAGGCAGAGCAGAGGCTGCTGGTGCACCTGGCTGAGCTCTCTGTCCCATTCTCCAGCCTTCCATCCACTGTCTTCACCATCAGTTATGACGATTCACATTCCTGTGTCTTCCTTCCCTCAGCTCCCCCTGCTCTATCACGCTTCCTGCATTTGCCATGTCCTGGGGCAGAAAATTTCTTGAGTGTAGCAGCAGGTACATTCACAGCATCTACCCCTTGTGTTCTGGTTCTTGTTGGCAGAAATTAGCTCTGGACAAAGAAAATTATCCCTTTGTGTAAAACAAAACTGCATGAGCAACAGCAACAAAACAACAGACTAAACTGGCATACAGGCTGTCTTAGCTGCTGTAAACTTGCAAGAGGAAAGGATTTCTTCTTTTAAAATAGTTACCCTCAGAGGGGGCAGGTTTTGAGATGGTGCAGGCTTTGGAGGATACAGCTAGTTTGTATATGCATTCTTATCTTACATGCATAGAATTAGCTATCTATCTTTCTGAGCATACACTTTCCCAATTTGGATGCATAATTAAAGCAATTGCATTTGCAAATTAGGCAGATGGAATTTTATGCCTAGCCTGCTTGGGGGGAAAGGAAAAAAAAAAAAAAAATCAGGTCTGAAAGAGCTTGCTCCAAGATTTGGATAATTGCTAATTAGCCCTGATGTCAAACAAACCTGCTGCATTAGAGTCACTATCTGTACTGGCTGAACCTTTGGCAGGAAGGCTTAAAAGGCTAACTATGCCTAACGACCACTGTAGGGGGACCTTTTACAGTAAAAGGCAGCAAAGTGAATATGACAGCCTGGTCCATCTGAAAGAACTGCTAACTGGTCTCAGAAACCACTAGCATCTTCAGTCTCCCAGAACCAAATAAGAGGTGACGTTCAACAGCATTGGCTTCCAGTTGTCTTGCATCACACTGGTTTCAGCTAATAGCCCAAAGACAGCAAAGCCCAGAGCTTGTGCTCTCAGTGCCCAGGCAGCTGGGTAATTGTTCCAAGCTGGACCAAGCTGCTTAAAACACAGTAATCATTGCAGGGAGCCACCTCCTCTTAATCACTGGAGGAAAGCAAAGGGGCCATCTGAGGTGATGGCACTGTGACCCATTCTCCCAGCAGCTGCCCATCCCTCCTTAGCCTTCTGCTTGCAGCCTGTCCCTCCAATGCAGAAATTCATTGATGTGAGCAATGTTGACAGGCAATTGATCTATTTCAAGTTTTTTTTAAAACTGGGGGAAATGTTGTTGTTCTTTTTGAGTTGTTTTAGTGAGAGAAAGGTTTACCCTAAAAACTCATTCTCCTTTCTTGGTATTTTTCCTTTGCCCTCTTTCCTTTGCTCATTTATAAAACACTTGTAAAAACAGTTCTGGCAAAAAAAGCAAAAAAGCCAAAGAAGAAAAAAAATAATCTGTCCGCAAAAATCTATCATCCAAAAGCTTTTGCCTAAAATGAGGGAAGATGAGGGGAAAAAAATCATTGGTGATCTTCTATTGCATTAAGAAAGCCCACTCATGTTCAAAGACAATATTTTCATAGAGAAACATCCACCGGGTGCAAGGCTTTCCTTAGCATTTGTGAGATGCTTTTTTGGTAGGTGACAGGCGTACCTCTGTTTCAAAAGGTACCTTTAGCCACCTAATGACCTCACTGTGTCCACAGAAGAAAGCTTCACTCAGGGTGAGTTCAGAGCAGCCTGTCAGAGACATACTGTGCATGCTCCCCCCCTGCCCGGAGTTCATTCTGTTCTCTCTCACTTCGCTCCTCTTGTGGACTAGAATAAATTCAGACTGAAACTATAAATCTGCCTGCTACAGATGAAGATACTGGACAGCTGTCTGAAGCTGCTGATATGCTTATTCTAGCTATAGTGGTATATGTGATTTTCCTGCCTACCGCAAAACAGTCAGGGCTTTTCCCTACTGCAACACTTCAGTGGAAGACATAATAATTTCCAGAGTCAACCAAAGAAAATCATTATTGCAGTTCAGCATCAAGAAGTGCTGACCACCCTCAGCAGATGATCACATCATCACTGCAGAGACTGGCGAAAGAGATGGGCAGGAAACTCCAAAAGCTGCAGACGATTGTGTCTGTGCTAGGCTTGTAACAGAAGTTTCCTTGCATTTGTTCAGCAGAGGATCCCAAGATGGTCACCACTGAACCTGTCTGTTATTGCTGAGAAGGGCAAAAAGGTACTAGCTTAGTTCCATTGCCTGAATTCAGCACAGCCCTGTCAGTCCAGTGTCCTGCTCTGCATTACTGCTAATGCTGCCCAAAGAGCTCAAATAACAGCAAATTCATCAGCATGATGTTTCTGAAGGTGTTCCTCAACACACTAAAAACAAAACAGAAGGGAAAGGTCATCTTGGTTTAGTTAAGAGCAGGATATTGCAGGATCACTGTGGAAGTTGCACCTCAGATGAACAAAGGCTCTGGCTCTCCTGGGGAGGTGGGAAGCTGGACCTCACAACACTAAGTGACTTGATCAAGGCCATACGCTAGAGTTAGAAGAATCCAGGTTGCAGGACTTCACACTAGGCTGCACTGCTTTCAAGCCCTTCTGCTGTTCAGCAGAAAGCTCTGCCTTCCTCCTCCAAGAGAGGAAAATAAACCACAGGACCTTCCACACCCCAACATAGAGGCTAAAATGGAAGCTCATGACAATGGGATTTCCTCCAAGGAATGAATAAAGACAGTTGTAGCTTTGTTCTCTCCACTACCTGTTCACATACCCCATTATTCTTATAAGGTGTTCCATATTGGTTGTTTCTGGCCACATCTGGATGATAAAATGCCAAGAGTTATTTAAACTAGTAAGAATAGGAAAGCAGTAAATGTTGATATTACAAGAGCAAGGAAAGTCCTTGGGCAAAATTATAGCTCTCTGAGGAGCACATGTGACTTCTGGAGAAAGACTCTGCTTCAAAACACACAATGTTATTTCTATACACTATGAGGCACTGCCCAATGGTAGCCTTGCTCAACAACAGGTATGGATGTATCATATCAACTGCATTTGTAAGTAGCAAGCACAGCCTCTTCCTCCTAGTTGTAAGAAAGGCACAGAAAAACATTTAAATGGATTAAGAGTTTCTAGGGTTTGTCAGTACAAACTAAAGCAAATGCGTGATAAATCATTTATGAGGTCATGCGATGAGAGTGTTCAGAAATGGAAAACACCTCTGAAGTCAACTTCTTAGGAGGCTGGAATCCTATCGCAGGATAGAGGGTCTACTGGGTAGTCAAATTCATCAGCTCTTAGCAAAGAGGCAACAAGAAAATTGCTTGCAAATTAAATGGAGCAGGTCGCAGGCTGCTGCAGTCTTGCAGAATGTATGGAGATATCCAGCACCAAGTGTATTCTTCCCAGATTGCAACACACCAGCAGACTCCTTGGAAGGAACATGACTGGCAAGGAGCAAGATAGTCCCTGCATCCACCAACAGTAGATGCTATGTCAGCAGGAGACAGATTTACCCAGAAAATTAAAAGCCTTTGGTACCCATAATTACAACTCTAACTCTTCAGAGCTCTTAGCACTAACTAAATCTCCTGCCACCTCAGGCAGGGACATAAAAATATTTGTCAGGCCTCCTTTAGAGCAGAGGACATGGAAAGAAGGTCCAGGTTCCCTCTAAACGCCATAGCTTTGGCCTGACTTCACACCCAGATGAGGCAGGGACACAGTGTCAGGAGCATACCATACGTGCTGAAAAGCCCCCACAATCCACTAAGATGTGGATGACAGGATTTACTCAGCACCTGTTAAAATTAGGCCTCTCTGTAAGATGACATCCTGCTGGTCCCCTTCCCCACAATCATTGCCCATCACACTAATGAGGAAATTTTCTCTAAAGAGGCAGCACAACTGACTGACAGAGCTCAAGCAAACACAACAATCCTGGGCCTACTCATATCACCCGACAGGCCTTTGGATCACACTGTTAATCTCAAGCTAGGAGGTGATGGGCATGAGGAGAGACAGAGGATTAAGTCACTACCACTGCTCTCACCAACTCTTGATGAGAAGCCTACTTTGTTCCTCAGACTGATTTTGGAAGACTCAAATCTTCCCGAACAGAGAGTCTCCCATATGGTCACAATTTGCTGACTTGATTTCAGTATTACATAATATTGGTATTTATGAGCCAAGTATTTAATCATCATCTGAAAGAACACTGGGCCCATTGTTGGCCTACACATTATTATGGCTCCAGAAGCTCAGGGCAGCCCACCCCACTTCCCTTCATGCAACTGATCTGGGACTTCTTTAATGAGCATGATATTAAAGCTGGAGGCAGATGGGTACAGCAAACAGTATGTGGGGAATGAAGGTAGTGGTGGGGAACACTACGATCCCTTAGTCCTTCGTGCCTGCAAAAAATTATTATGCAGAGAGAAAGAAATTTCCCTTGCAAAACAGCCAAGCTGACATGACTGGTAACCATGCACTGCCACCTCTGCCCTTTTGTATTACCATACCAAAACAAAACAAGGCTTAGTGCTACAGCTGCTCAAAGGATGGGTTTGGTACATCTGCCAGAAAGGAAAAATTTTCCCTACTTAAATCTGAATCTGCCTTCAACATTGAAAATGTCAAAATTTAGGATAAGAGCTTTTACCATCTAGTGTGAGTACAAAGACCTGCTTTTGTTCAGGACACATGCCAATCTAGAACTAGCCTCAGCTAATCTGCAACTTGCAATGGAAACTGCCCATTACCACTGGCAGACCAGTTTCTCTGGGTTTCTTGGCTATCTGTGCTACTGCTGCTGCTCCAGATAATCAATACCCAAGTCATGTAGCATTTCCG